CCCCCCCCCCCCGGTGCCGGCAGGCCGACACGCACACGTTGCTGTTATTTTGCAGCCTCACATGGGTCTGGGTTATGTGTCACCGGCCACACTCAATTGGCGAAGAGCGTTCGGTCATCTCTCTCTCCTCCCTCCCCCCCTTCCCGCCCTCGCTCGCCCCCCTCCTCTCTTTTTTCACTTTTTGGTACCTACCCCTCGTTGTCCCTCTGCCCCCCCCCCCTCAACCGTCTCCACTCTCCAGCAGTGTGCCCTCCCCCTCTCCCCCCCCCCTGCCCCTCTCCCACCAGCCCGGATGTCCCTGCCAGCCGGGTGCTTCTTGTCGGCCGGCGGTCCTGCCATCCCGCGTCTTGCTGCATTCTCCCTCCCCCTACTGCCACACGCCCAGCAGCTAACCCAGCACATGTGTCAATCCCACAGCCCAATATGGATCGCCCTGATCATGGACGTGAGCCCTGGTACGATGTTCCTTCCCTGTCGCTCCCCCTCCTGTCTCCCCGCGCTTCCCTTGTCCCCACTTCCCTCTCTGACCCCCGCCCCTCCCTCCACCCCTTCTTCCCGGTCCCCCGTCTCCCCCCCCCCAGCCCTTGGCGTATTGGTGAGGATGCTGGTGGTGCTTTCGCCATGGGCTTCGTCGGCTCCTCGATGATCAACTCCTTCAAGGGTTTCCGCAATGCCCCCAAGGTGCGCCTCTGCCCTCTGTTCTTGCCAGCTTGCCACCCCCCCCTCCCTTGCGTGATATGCTGACTCCCTCTTGACCTTTACTCTGCTCGGGGATGGCGCACCGGGCATGTCTAGTCCGCCAACCGCATTGCTCATGCCCTCCGCACTGCCCAGCGCGTGGCCCCCGTCACCGGAGGTTTGTGATGATCATCTCCTGCCTCCATATCGCCTCGCATGCCTCCCCTCCTGACCCCTCCCCTTCTGCGCCACTCCTCCCCCCTCCTCCCCTTCCCCCCGCCACAACACAACCATACAGGGAGCTTCGCCGTCTGGGGTGCTACTTTCTCCACCCTTGAGTGCACCTTCTCCTATCTGCGTGGGAAGTCCGACTCTTACAACATGATTGCTGCTGGTACTCTGACCGGTGGTATCCTGGCCCTCCGCTCCGGTATCCGCAGTGCCGCCATCAGTGCTGTCATTGGTGGTTCCCTGATGGCCGTCTTCGAGATGATTTCCGTCGGTGCGTCTTCTCCCCCTCCCCCTCCCTCCCGATCAGCCTCACGCACGCACGCACGCACGCACACACACACGCACGCACACACACACATGAACAGGCAGCTTCTGCTTCTCTGACACATGCTCCTCACTCTGCCCCTTCCCTCCGTCTGTCGCACACAGCCCTCAACCGCACCACCGCCGATATGACCCGTCCGACTGCCTTCGAGTTTGGTGTCTCATCCAACCTCAGCCCCACTGTCCTGGACCCCCACGGTCCGCCTCAGGAGTTCTCTGAGGATAAGCTCTACTAAAGTGGGCGGCTCGCGCGCGCGCGCGCGTGTCCCCCCCCCACTCTCCCCTCCTATTTACTCCACAGACACACGGACGCCCGCGAGCGCCCGCGTCCGCGCACCGGCGCCAGCACCGACACACCCGCACACATGTGCACGCTCGTGTACCCCCGTCACTGCGCTGCGGTTGCTGTCACGATGGCAGCAGTAGCAATGTGCGCCCGCCTCCTTCCCCCCCCCCCACACATTTCTCCCGCCCCTTTTTCCTCCTAGACAGTCCCCACCTCCTTGCCCCCGCCGTTCTCTTCATCTCCCCCCTCTCCCATTAGGGCATCTCTCTCTGTGTATGTGTACGTGTGTACGTGTGTATGCACAACCCCTTCCCCCCTGGCCAGGGAGCTGGAAGGCCACAGCAGAGCGGCGAGGGAGGAAGGGGGGAGAGGCGGGACAGCCGGCAGGAGAGAGAGAGAACCGAGGAGAGAGGGGCGGCGAGGAGGACAGGGGGAGTTCTTGTGCTCCTGTGTACGCCCCGGGCGGCGGCCTTCCCCTGACGCGCTTACCTTGCTTCCTCCTCGCATCAGCATGGCATCCGCCCGATCATCCTCCCTCCCTTTCCGCCCTTTCCTTCCCTTTCCTTCTTTCTCCTCCTCCTCTGTCCATTTCCCTTGAAAGACACCAAACACTATAAAACTGCAAACTTCCCTTCTCCTGCCTTTTGTTCTTTCCTTTGTGTTCTCCCCGTATGCCCCTATGTGTGTGTGGATGCGTGAGTGGGGACACACGATGTGCCTGCTCCCTCTTCCTGCCCTCCTGCCCTCCTGTCTTCCTGTTCGTCTTGTTACTTTCTTCGTTCTCCCTGTTTTCCTTTACTCTGTTTGATCTCTTCCTCCCACCCCCGCCTCTCTCTCTCTCTCTCTCTCTCTCTCACACACACACACACACACGCACACACACACACACACACACACACACATATACACACACACACACACACACACATATGCACACGTACACACATTCGGTGCCTCAGGACGGGGAAAGGGGGCGGATTTTGCGCCGATGCTGTGCGACGGCCAATCCCACCCAGTCTTGGTAACCGAATCCAGTTAAGACCACTATCACGCGGGGGACAGCTGTTCAGGGGGCTGGAATTCCACCCCGCAGGAAGCCGCCGCCTCGGCCTGCTTTTCGTGTCCCTCAGGCGGTGCGGCGCGAGGGCCGGCCCTCCTTGTCGTGTATGCGCCATAAGTGTGTAAATGCGGGCATTCTGCAGAGCCGTAGCTCCGGGGCAGTAGACACCAGCGTTGGGGGCTGCTTCTTTTGTCCCCTCGCCCAAGAGCGGGCCCCTCCTCGGGGCCTGTTCATTTGTCTCCAAGCCCGCACCCTGCAGCGGGGAGGGTCTGCCAGCCAGCCGGGCTGTTTGCCCCGATGCACTCCCCCCCCCCCCCCCGGCGAGACTCGCAACAAGTAACTGTAGCCAGCCCTGGCCTCTGGTCGGGGGTGGGGGGGTGCCCTGCGCCGTTGGCCGACAGATCCCCCCGTCGCCGCGGTCCGGTCCGTAGGGAGGTGTGCTTGCTTGTCCGCCAGCGCACCAGGCCGGAGCGTCGACGCTGGGCCCCCCGCCTCGCCCCGGCCTCTCTCGTGCGAGTCCCTCGCCCTCCTGGCGAGAGGGAGGGAGAGAGAGAATGGGGGGGGGGGCCGATGGGGCCCTGATCTGGGCACCTCTTTTTTTCGCTCCATCATCCACGGCCAGCCCCCGCCGATGCCGGCAGCTCCCCTCCCCCGCCTGTCCCTCCTGCTCCTGCGCTTCGTCGCTCGCTCGCTCGCTTGCCCCCCCCCCCTCCTCGCCCGCCTGCCCGCCCGCCCGCGCACCGGCACTCCACCACTCCTGCCCCTCGGTTTCCCTCTCGCCCCCTGCCTTCCATCTCTCTCTCTCTCTCTCTCTCTCTCTCCCCCCCCTCCCGAGAGCAGGCGTCATCGGCAGCATGAACTCCGCCGACAATCAGTTCATTGTCATCGACAATGTACCCCCTCCCCCGCCTCCGTCCTCTCCCACCTGTCTGCCTGCGTCGCCATCCCCCATCCCCCATTGGTCGTCTGGCTGCCTGTCCCGCTTCTGACCCAGCTCATTGCCTCCCCCTCCACCTCCCGCTCTGCCTGGCCACGCGTCCTCAGGGGTCCTTCACCATCAAGGCCGGCTTTGCCGGCGAGGACCGCCCCCAGGCTCTCCTCCGGACCTGGTGTGTTCCTTGGCCATCTTCCCTCTCGTTTTGGCCCTTTCCCCTTTCCCGGGCTCCCCGCGGCTTTTCTAACCCTCCCCCCTTGTGTTCCTCCCGCGCCCGCCCGCCTGCCCGCCTGCCCGCCCGCCTGCCCGCCTGCCCGCCCGCCCGCCCACCTCCCGATAGCATTGGCCACACCAAGTACCAGAAGGTCATGAGCGGCGGCGACTTCGAGCCCGGGCGCATGATCGGCAACAGCCTGCAGGAATATCGCGGCCTCTTCCGCACCACCTCCCCAATCAAGAATGGCCTGATCGAGAATTGGGAGGACATGGAGGCCCTGTGGAATCACCTGTATAGCCAGCACCTGAAGGTGTCCTCCGAGGACCACCCGGTGCTGATCACCGACGCGGCCTTGAGCCCCCACAAGCAGCGCCTGCAGATCGCCCAGGTCCTCTTCGAGTCCTACAACGTCCCGGCTCTGTCGATTGCGGTGCCGGGTGTCCTGAGTCTGTGCGTGCCAGGCTCTCGGCCCTCGGCCCTCGCCCCCTCCTGCAGATGTGTCATATACTTACTGCTGGCCTGCTGATTTCCCCTGCTCGGCTGTGGCGCTGCCGGGCCGGGCACGCAGCTACTCCTCCGGCATGACTTCCGGCATCGCCCTGGACTCCGGCAATGGCGTGACCGCTGCCATTCCCGTGTACAACGGTTTTATCCCAACTGGCACCGTGCGCCGGATGGACATCGGTGGAGAGTACGCCTCCCTCCTCCCGCTGCGCTCCGGGCCCATGTGGCCTCGTTCCCCCGACTGGGCATCTCCCTGGCCCGTGTCCCTGCCCTTTCCCGTCATTCACACTCGTCCACACGACCCGCTCATCCCAGCGACATCACCAAATACCTGCAGCTGCTCCTGCGCAAGTCCGGCTACTTCTTTAACACTTCGGCCGAGCTGGACATCGTGCGCGAGATGAAGGAGCGCCTGGGGAAGATCTCCGAGGTGACCACCTTCAACCCCCTCCACATGGCGACCACCACTGGCAGTGGGGCCGGCGCCGACTCGACCACCGATTCGGCCGCCACCGAGCCCATCAAGTACCTGTTGCCCGATAACCAGGTGATCGAGGTCCGTGCTGCGCTGTGCCGCATCTCCCATCTGACCAGCATCTCTCTCTCTCTCTCTCTCTCTCTCTCTCTCT